ATTGCCTAAAGAGTTACAGTCAGATTTTTACAGGGTGTTGGATTTTGGCCCGTCAACTTTGAGTGTGGAATAATGTACAATTTTAAGGATTCTTCAGCTAGAATTCACCTTACTTTGCATTAAACTCTCCATAGAGCAGATTCTTGTCCATTGTATGCACTTAGTAAACAGCAGAATGCTTTGTATGAAGGAGGATTTTTTTTCCTCCTGTGTTTGCATTGTACACCTTTAGAACTGGATAGGATCTTCAAGGTAATCTGCTCCAACCCTTATATTTCTTCTCTCTTCTAGTGCTATGTGCTCAGTTCCTTACATGAGTCGATGCCTTTATCTCACTGAAGGATATGTAGAAATTTTTTATGCCTTCTGTGACTCCGGAGTTTAGTTAAAAGATACTGGTTCAAGCCAGGCGTGGTGGTGCATACCTTTAATCCCAGCACTGGGGAGGCAGAGGCAGGCGGATCTCTGTGAATTCAGGGCCAGCCTGGTCTACATAGTGAGTTAAAGGACAGCTAGGGCTACAGGGAGACCCTGTCTCAAAAAGACAAAAAAAAAAAAAAGAAAAAGAAAAAAAAGAAGATGATACTGGTTCAGACTTGATTCTGTCCATGCAGGTATGCTGAATGACCTTAACAAGAAAAGTTATTAGTGATTTGTGGGAAATAGTATCTGAGGGCATTATTCAGTCCAGTCCGGGACCCCAGCCGATGGGTAGTGCCACATTCATTCAGGATGGGTCTTCTCTCCTCAGTTAAAGCTCTCTGGAAACATCCTTAGAGACATGGCTAACGTGCCTCATTTATGCTCCTGTTTTTTAAATATAATCAAGTTGGAAATTGAAAGTAATCATCACATTGTATTGATTGAAAGCTTTAATTTTGTTTAATTTAATTTTTTTCTTTTTCTTTTTCTTTTTTTTTAGTTTTAACAGAGGCCAAGGGAGTTTTGTTTCTTGGCACTTAAAAAACTGCCTACATTTTGGATGGCTTTTTTTTTTTTTTTTTTTTTTTTTTGTGGCTTTTGGGAAAATACTAGTCTATAGCTCTGATTGTGTTTCCTATTTAAAGAACTCTTTTAAAAAAGCTAAAAATGAGAGCTAGGATCTTCATTTTAATCACTTAACTATGTTTCCAAAACGAGCAACACGATTACCTTAGCAAATAATGTATGGCAAGTAGTTTTGTAGGACTTCTCTTAATGTAGTTATGAATGAAAATTTATAATTGGGAAAACACACTTTGGCAAGTAGGCCTGAGTAGATTTCTTGAAAGTAATGATGATACTTGATACTTGGTACCTTATTTAAGACTTTTACTATTTTTTTGCCTAACTTTTTTGTTTGTTTTGAGACATGGGTTTTACTGTGTAGCCCTGGCTAGCCTGGAACTAGCTCTGTTGACCAGGCTGTCCTCAAACTCCCATGGAGCTGCCTGCCTATGCCTGCCAAGGGATGGAATTAATGGTGTACTCCATCACCTTTGCCTGACTTTTGAACCAAAGAATACAGTGTGGTTTGAAGAAACTTCTAGCTGCAAGATATCCACACCCTTTGCAGGAGGGAGTGACAACTGTGCTATTCTCAGTAGTGTAGTGTAGCTTGTCCACAGATGATAGGTGCTTGTTAAACTCCCTTGCTAATTTTTAGAGTTTATTTCTTAGAATTTTCTGCCTGTGTTTTGTTTTGTTTTTTCTTTTCCTGTAGCCACAGCTGTCCTGAAACTCACTACATAGACCAGGCTGGCCTCAATCTCACAGAGATCTGCCTGCCTTTGCCTTCTGAGTGCTGAAACTAAAGTTGTGCACTATCATTTCCAGCTTTTTCTGCCTGTATGTGAATTGCTGGTTTCTAAACACTGGTATATTCTTTGTTCCTTTCCATAGTAATTATTTTACTTTTTTTTTTTGAGACTCACTGAGTATAACTGAGATTGAACTATCTGTTGGAGCCTTGTGGGTCCCATCTGAATACAGTGACAATGACTACCCTTCCCCTAGAATCCATTAGTAGCTGGTAGTTCTTCAGGGGAAGGGTAGGGCCCCTTTTCACCCCTCACTGGTCTGTGACCTGCTGTGGTTAGGCCCAGTCTTAGGTAGACCTATTGCAGTGTGCCCACAGCTACTGTGAGGTCATGACAGCATTGGCTGTGCCATGCTGGAAGGCAGCATTTCACAGTCCCTGTCCCTGTCTTCCCAGTGCTTACACTTTTGCCTGTTTGTTTTTTTGAGACAGGGTCTGCCTGTAGCTCCAGCTGGTCTAGAACTTGCTATGTAGACTACACTGGCTGCCAATTCATAGAAATCCACCTGCCTCTGCTGGGATTAAAGGCATGTGCTACCACACCCAGCTTGGTTCTTAACAATTTTTCCATGCTTTCTTCCTCAAAAGTTCCCTGAGCCTTAAAAGGGATGGTGTAAATGTCTTGTCACTTAGTTGAATCTGGAAGTAACATTTATCTGTGGGCATAAATATAAATATTTAGAGAGCAGCTTATACCATGATGATTTACCTAAATAACGGTAGTGACTTACTTTCTAGAGCTTAAGACCTCTTCAGTCATGGGTTTTTGACCAGACATGAATTTCCGCTTGTGGAACAGGCCTCAAATTCAGAGAATGGTTGGTTATCCCTGTAATAGTCATGCCACTGTTGCAGAGGTGGGTACATCTTGCCTGGCAGGTTGGTAGTGTATACTGTAGGGTTCTTGACTGGGTAAGAGTGTTGATGCCTTTACTCCCTGAGCAGCCTGTATAGCATTTTCTGGCACTGTGAAAGCTTGCTGGCAGTGTTGGAGGTGCTATGTGTGTGTGTGGGGGGGGGGAGATAACCAAGGCATTTCTTTCTTCCTGGAAGTAGTTTATTGTGCTAGCACCTGACTCCCTGAGATAGCTCTCAATAAAGAGACCCTCCAATAAAGAGACCCAGTCTTTCACACCCTCTGTTAGTTCCCTTTACAGTTCAGTTTCTATGCCTCCCATGTATGGTAGTACACATATCCTGATTGAGTGCTTCATGCTACAGGATCATGACAGGCAGACCTGTGAAGGTGCACTCAGGTACAGACCAAGCTGTATCCCTTTTTCTTTGTGTGTATTTCAAGGTGGGAGGGAGGAAGCTTCCAGCTTGGCTCTAGGTTGATTTCTCTATACTTTACAACCAGGGTGTATGGTGATTTCAGCAATAGGGTCTTAGCAACTAGTTCTGGTGGGCCACCAATGAGAGTACCAAGAAGTTGTGTTGTTTTGGAGACCTATGGGACCTCCCTAATCAACAATTCATATGGAGGTAATGTACATCTGGCCATGAAGTTTTTGTTTAATTACTTTGGCTGTAGGATCAACATTATGTGGATGGTGGATACAATATTCTTATAAATGGTTTGGAGGGTATTTAAAAGAATTTAAAATCTCTAAAATTTTCATTATCTTTCCTTTGTAGTTGGGTTTGTTGATGTTAATTTTGGTCTAGGATCTAGTGATTTTTGGGTTATCTAAGCATATTTATTAAGGACTAGTTTTGGTAGCTGCTTTGGTTTTTTTGACATCTCTTTTCCCAAGAGTTTCCTAACATGGATCGATGATTGAGAACTTTGTGTGAGAATGGTTTAAAGGCCAGGAGCAGAGAGGTAGGCTAAAACCTATCTGAATCTGTCTGGAGGCCAAATGCTGTATAGACATTCTTCTTTTGGTTGTTTTTGTCTCCTGTCTGCTGATTCCCTGCCTCTCCCACCTCCATTTCAGAATGTTTAGAGCAACCTCAGGCTTAGTCCTGTTTCTCTTTTGTCCTGGGCACCCATCTGGATACTCTTCTCAAGCACATAGAAATACTAAGGATGGAGCCAGTATTTGTATAGGAAGTGAGGCTGTTATGGGTGATTCTGCTGTTCTGTGAGCAAGCTTTTTGATTACTTGGAGTTTCTTATGCTTTAATCCAGCCTCTTTATCCTGAGTTTGACTTTGCCTCTCAGAGGTCACTGGGTTTGATGAAGACAGCTCTGATCTCCTTATAGCCCTTTCCTTTACGTGTGTTGCACCTCCTCTGCCATGGCCTCTCTTAATTCATCCTCACCTTTTTCCTCTAGAAATTCCTCTTTAGCCCTCTTCTCCCTTTTTTAATTATTAATGGAGTTTCTTGTTTACAGATTTTTATGGATTATTTATGAATTATGAAAACCTTGAACATAAACACACACAGCTACTCTCTAACTTAAATAAGACTTAAGTCCAGATGGTTGAAGTTTATTCTCTTTTCTGATTGCATTGCATGCCCTAAGGCTTGTGTTAATATTTTATTCTGTGCGTATGCGTTTCTGAATAGCATAGAACCTTGATTTCAATAAGGTTTGGCCTCATGTAGGTACATACCGAGCAGACTTTTCTGTACCCCCCCCCTTTTTTAAATTTTCTTGTGTGTCTTTTCTACTGGTTCAGTAGAATTTGCCTATGCATGATAAGTGAGCTTATGTTGTTTTTACTGTGAGAGCTTATTTAAAGGGAAATTTTAATATGTTTTTTGATTTCTTGTCACAAGTGTAGAAGAAAGAACCTCTTCTTGTTTCAACTGTTGATGAGAGGTAAATGTGACACCTAGCAGTGTTATTCAAGCTCACCATTTGAGTCTGCTGATCTCTATTCAGTGTTATAAATTCCTTTGGGAACAGAGAAACACCATTCAGTTGTATTTAGGGTTAACAGAGGTTGAGTGAAAATTTGAGTTCTTGTTGGAATAAAGCTTTAGAGATCAGTTACTACAACTGTACTAAAGAAACTTAGGGCCAGTAAAGGTGAGTGACTAGCCTGAGGTAACTGAAGGAAAAGCAGGGTTTGAGTAAGCTGCAGTTCATTGCTTCCACTTTACTATAATGAACCATAGGTTAGAGTCTTCTCTTGCTATTGTTCAATTTTGATTTTGCCAGTCTATTTAAATATTTATATGAACACCAAGAAATTTTTAATGTTCAACTAAGATCTAAACTAACCCATGTTTGTCGTGTGTTTCTTAGAGTCAAAATGGTTTCAATCCCAGAATACTATGAAGGCAAGAATGTTCTCCTCACAGGAGCTACTGGTTTCTTAGGAAAGGTACTTCTGGAAAAGTTGCTGAGATCTTGTCCTAAGGTGAATTCAGTGTATGTTTTGGTGAGGCAGAAGGATGGACAGACACCCCAAGAACGAGTAGAAGAAATCCTTAGTAGCAAGGTAAGTGTGGAGAATGACCATTTGGAGGGGAGAAAAAAGTATGTACTTACATGTGTTATGATAAGTACCAGTGGGTTAGTATATTGCTTCAGTGTCTTAAAAAGAAACTGGGAAGAACATTGGTAAGTCCCTGCAGTATGGCAATGAGCTGGAGTCCAGAGGAAGAGAGTGAAACTTGTTCTGTGATAGGTAGGCCACATTCTCTAGTAAGGTTCAAATTATCTTTATAGTAAATATTTTGGGTATGTTTTTAGAATGTTTGAAACGTTATTTGTAAATACCAGATAGTGTAGTCTTGAGATAGCCATAATTACTATGCTGTGAGACACTATGTTTTAATGCTACTTAAAATTTTGTAAGCACCACAGGTGTTCCTCCTGAGAGTGTGAGGCAGCGAAGTCACATTATTCCCATTTGACATATAGTGGGGTCATATAAATCTTAACTATTTGAGCCTTTAGAAAACTATTGCTAAGGAAAGTGGGAAAGGAGCTAAAATAAATTATTTCAGAATCATAGTAAGCCTGTGAATTCTCCCAAAATGAATTTATCTGATATTCATTGATAGTAAATATGAATCAATAAGCTCAGTTTTGATGCTCATAAAAAATCTGGCTGCAGGCATATTTCAGAAAAGATTTTCACTAATTTATTTTGGGATGAGAATGATACGTGTTTGTAAGCTTAAGTTTTTGTAGGCCTGTTTATAAAACAAACAGCAACAGAGAAAAACTCTACCAGCAAACCTCCCATCCACAGCAGCCAGCCAGACTTTTCACTATGAATGACTTTCACAGAATTTTGTGGTGGTTCTTTAGATTGGAATTTATTGTCCTGTCATGGGATCATTTCTTTGAGAGCATGCAGCAGGTCCTCCTAGTTAGGGTGCCTTTTTTTTTTTTTTAAAGACCCTGGGGTGTGTGTATACTTCTTTCTTAGACATACTTTTTAACTTTTCCAACTAGTCTATAGTAGTCTCTCTTAACCATATCTTTTAACTCTCTTTGTGAGTCTTTGTGCCTCTTAAAACTTGTGAGAAAATAGTCATCGAGAGGCTAGAAGACCACCAGGCTTGCTCTGAGAAAAACTCCTCCTGTGTGTTTTGTTGTTTTTTTCTGCCCTTGGTTAATCTTGGCATTTTCGTATGAACTACTTATGGCTGTTATGCTTCAGTCCCTCTCCCAGTACCACTTCCTCCTAGGAAAGGGTTTTTGTTTTCAGTTTTAAGAGGGAAGAGTACAGAAGAGAGAGTATACAGGTATCAATAGGAGATTGGAAGTTGATGCTCTGAAACTGAGACCTGAATGAAATGTAAACATTCCAAGTATCTCTTTGAGGTCTTCAGGGAAGTGCTTCTAAAATCTCCTTCATAGTAAGTCTAATGTGGAAAGAAAGGGAGTATTTTGTACTTAAAGCCTGAAATTTCACTTACCTGTGATGGTTTAACCTAAATGTATGACCGTTATTTTTAATACAACAATATTTTGTCCCCAAATAAAATATTTCACTAAAATAGAAACTGAAATATGTTACTTTTCTTTCATCTGCTTCCAGTTTCCTCATAGTACATATCCTACTTCTTAATCTTGGTTCCAGGTTGTGAAGCATTCCCAGTAAACTAATAAAAATGTAAGCTTTGTGTGCCAAGAAGCAGTTAATATGTACTTGAAGTAGGAGACGTTAAAGTCTACTGTGGTTTTGAAATACTCCACCATAGGTAGAGTACACCACAGGGCTCATTGACAGAAGCATATTTCACCCTTGCACCATTAGCATTCTGGACTGGATAATACGTTGTTGAAAAGTATTGATCTATCCTTGGGTGATCAGCAATATTCCTGGCCTGTACACATTAGGTCCCAATTCAGACATATATTTTCAGATATCACCCGATTCAGACATATATTTTCAGATATCACCAAATGTCTCCTGGGGACCAAAATTACCTCAGGTTGAGAGCCATTGACTTACGGGGACATCTTAAGAAAAAGAAACTATTGGATGGTAGAGATTTAAGTCAAATATTTGATTATTGGTTAGGGGTGTAAAGATGTAACTCAGTGGTAGAGCACTTGCCTAGCATATGTGAGGAGGCCCTGGCTTCTATCCTCAGCACACATACCCCCCAACAAAAGTAAAATAGTTGATCATGAAGTAAATTTTGGAACATTAAAGAGGTATCAGTAAATTTAAAGTAGAAAGTAATAGGAGTACTAGTGGGTTAAAATAACTGGAGAAGATTCTGAATGGAGCTGGTGGCTGGCACGGGCAGAGTCAAATTTGGGTGCTAGCTGTTGAAGCAGCAAGATCATGTCCTAGGTGCAGTGATCCTCAATGGTCAGAAAAGGAAGAAATAGGACTCCAGGGGTGGAAAAGTACTTTGTGGCCATCTCCTAGGTTCCTTTTACTCTGCTTGCACCTTAATACTGATATTTTTGAGATATCTGCCTAAGCCTTGATCTCTCCTTACCAGGTCCAGTGAGGTGGTCATGAAACACTCCCTGTTCTGTGTGAGTTGAATGGTTGTCCTTTGTTACATTTGGAAGTAGCTGTGTGTAGTTTGGATGTAGAGTGCTTGTTGCCATGGCTCTCTGGACGATCTCTTCCACTTTCAGAGCTTCAGTTTACTGTGTGTGGTCAGCACAGTCTGTATTGGCTCCCCCTGAACTCCAGACCTACAAAATAAACCTGTTGGATTTTCCTTCTAGGAAATGTAGGTGCTTAACACTCACCATTCACAAGACTGGCTTTGAATTTTCAGAATTCTACTTCCTTCTTTCTAGTGTTTCAAATGTAGTTAACAAATTAAAATTATGTCTTATGAGGCACTCCTCGATTTAGGGTCTGTATACTGAGCAAAATAGCTATAGTTCCTGCCCTCGTAGAGTTAGCATTTCTTGTTGCCCAAACACAGGGAGTGGCCAAGTCCAGTAGAAGTTATCTTCTAAATGTGCCTATTTTTCCATCCTATTCTGGACTACTCTACTACTTTGTCATTTCAGGGTCTTTTCTGTCTCACTTTTGCGCCTGTCATTCATCCACATACTTGTACACACTATTGGTCCTTCAGGTTGCTGGTAAATATCATTTCGTCTTAAGAACTGTATGTAGTTTTCCCAAGCTGGGTTAGTCTTTTCTCCTGTGCAATCTCATAACACCATATTGTTACCCCTGTTTTATTGTTAATAACACTATATTTTAATCATCCATTTATCATATACTTACCTAGTTTTTACTACTAGATTCTAAGCTTGAAAGTCCATTTCCTTGTTTGTTCAGTATAGGAAGGTCCTGGCTTATAGGAAATGTTAGTAATATTCTTCTAAATGGTAATAGTAGGAGTTTGGGGGCTGGAGAGTGCCTCAGAGGTTAAGAAAATACACTGTTCTTGCAGAGGACCCAGGTTCAGTTCCCAGTACTCATGTTGGGTGGCTCACAACCATCTATAATATACTCTAGCTCCAGGGGATCCAACATTCTTTTCTGGCCTCTACAGGCACTACACTCAGCTTCCCCCACCCTCATACATATACACATAATTATAAATAAATAAAATCTTTGTTAAAAGTCAAACAGCTGGAAGTGGTAGAGGTAGAGACTATTAAATACTAGTTATATGATCCCAACACTGGTGGTGCAGAGGCAGGCAGATCTCTGTGAGATTTAGGCCAGGCTGGTCTCCATAGCAAGTTCCAGGCCAGCAGGGGCTACAAGGAGACTCTGTCTCGAAACAAAATCCAAACCAAAACAGAAAACAGAAATAAGTAAGTACTAGTTACCTGAGAAGGTGAATGTGCACATTGGCATCTGTTACACTTCAGGAATAAAATAAAAGCTGAAATGATGAACTTCAGTTCTGGGTTTTAGAAATCTGAATAATCATTTTAAAAGCTTTTTCTGGACATCTGCATTGTTTCAATTTGTTTTGAGGAGTAATGCAATCTAGTTAGCCAAAACATGGGCAGTTAATATTTAGTGCTGCAAACTGCCATCTCTGTTTTCTTGGAGCACTGCTTGGACTCTGTTTCAAGGTTCCATTTCTGTAAAATGGGGACAAAAAGTCTGGGCCCCTTGAAAGTGTTTTTGTAAGAATAGCAACCTTAGGAAAAGCCCAGATTAAAATTCTTAGTCATCCTTGGTAGGGAAAGGGTTTATAATGGGTTTTGGACAATGGAAAAATATTACCCTAAAAGAAATATTTTTTCTCATTGATAGCTCTTTGACAGGTTGAGAGATGAAAGTCCAAATTTTAGAGAGAAAATTATAGCAGTGGACAGCGAACTCACCCAACCTAAACTTGCTCTCAGTGAAGAAGATAAGGAGGTCATCATAGATTCCACCAATATTATATTCCACTGTGCAGCTACAGTAAGATTTAATGAAAGTCTAAGGTAAGTACAGATACTTAATGTTATACTTTAACTTCCTACTTCTACAGTTGTAATTTTAATTCTGCTTTTTAGCGAAGTTTTGAAAATGGTTTGAAGCTGTCATATGTTAACAGTGGTTTTAAGTGTTAGAGTTTTTTGTTGTTCTTTTTTGGTATTTTGAGACAAGGTCTCCCTGTAGCCCCAGCTGGCCTGGAACTCACTGTGTAGACCAAATTGGCCTCAGTCGCACAGAGATCCACCCGCCTCTGTCTCCCAGTGCTGGGATTAAAGGCGTGCGCCACCAGTCCTGGCACCTGTCTTATGGAAGTTAAAGGAATTCTCTTTTTCTGGCTATCACTTTGAAAATGAAAGATAGCTAATATATGCTAATTAGAAAACCTTGCTATAACTTTAATGAAGAAAGGGAAAAAAACAACGAATGGAATTGAATGCAAAGTTTACCTTAGCCAAGAAAGAGCAGTCACACATCAGCTCTAGTGCTCACCTGCTCTCCTGCAGCATCCTTCAGAAGCCTTTCAGAATGTAGTAGCTGTATTCTTCTGCTCTTCAGCTTGTACTTGAGGAAATTAAAATTAAGTTCAAGTTTTACATACTGTGTAAAAATGGCTTATACATTAAAACCACAGCTTGTTTATATTTTAAAACACTGCTTTGGTAGCATTATTAGGACACAAGGTAACATCAGAAATAAAGCTTAATCTAAAAACTAATTTGAACCTCAGGATATCTGTTTCTACCAAAAAAAATTTTTTTTCTCCGTGTTTACTGTTTAAAAATCTAATGAATATACGTTTCAAATAATGGTGTGTAACTCATAGCACCATTCTTTTGATGGCCAAAAATAAGATTTTATGATTTTAATCTGATTTTATAGTCTTACTCCAGTTAAAATGATGTAACATTCTTTTTTAGGTTTCAGAATTCTTTGTGAAGCCTTTCTAAAAAGTTTTAAAAGTAAGCTGTGCTTCCAAAGGGCTTTGACATTATCCCCCATATTTATCGAGTATAGAAGTATAAACCTTAAAGATTGTGCATGCACGTGCGCGCGTGTGTGTGTGTATACATGTGTGTACACTTTATGCAGAATAATATCATAGGTAAATCCATTTTATACTTGAGGAGGCTGAGTCAACACTATAATGGAAATGGAAGCTTTGGAATTATATACCTTAGTTCTAATTTAGAGAAGTTACTAATCTCCTTGAATCTGAGTTTTCTTATGTATAAAATAGATATTTCTCAAAAGATTTTTTTTCTTTCTTTGCAAAGTTTAAACAGTATGTCATTTTACCTATTCACTGCTTTATTCCCTTTTAGTTCTTTGAGTCAACAGGTGAAAAACTTTGTGGCTACTACATGTTTATAATTCAAATTTTGCAAAAGGATGTCATAATAAGTATAGTATAATTTCATTTTATTGAATATGTGTGTTTATGCATATGTGTCTTTCTGTACTTGATGTTAATGGGTTTTGGATGGAGTTATCTGCATATTTTTCTTCCCATCATAAACACATCTTACTCTTCAAATAAAGATATGAATAAATAACATTTAAAATGTTCTTAAAGCAACATTTATATTCCATCTTAAAGGAATTAGTATCTTCATCAGTAAGAAAATTTCTTTTTTGAACATTTACTTGCTTGTGTATGTTTGTGCATATAGTTAAGTAATCTTTCCAAGATTATGAGTGTGGTCTCCAAGTTTTGTTATTTAGTGTCTTGCTATATGGTAGTCTAGGCTGACATCAAACTTATGATCTAACTTACTTCATCTCCAAATGTTGGGATTACAGGCATGTACTGCTGTGTCTGGCTGTCACTGATTTTTAGTGAGTGCTTATTTTTCCTTAGAATCCATTACTATAAAATGGCTAATCTAATACATTTTCCCCTGATAGTTCTTGCTTTCTTTATTTTCTTTAATTGAAAGAAAGATTCACACAGCCATATAAAGCTTAGCATGTTTTCTTTAAAAAAAAAATACTGCTAATTGTGGTATAGTTCCCATTGATTTAAAGAGGAGAAATCAGAAGCCTTTAAAGGGGAATTTGATTTAGCAGACAGCATTAATTGGAAAACATCAAAAACAGCCTTTATACAAAAGACCATAATAGATTACTTTAGGCGTATTTCACCTTATAGCTTACAGTTCATCATAGAGGGGAGCCCAAGTAGAAGCTCAGGGCAGGAACCTGGAGCACAGACCATAGAGGAACACTGCTTATTGGTTTGCTTCCCTGGCCTATGTTCAACCTGCTTTCTTTCTTTCTTTCTTTCTTTCTTTCTTTCTTTCTTTCTTTCTTTCTTTCTTTCTTTCCTCCCTCCCTCCCTCTATGTAGCTCAAGCTGGCCTTGAATTACCTAATCCTCCTGTCTCAGCCTCCCTAATGCTGGGTTTTAAGCATGAGCCACCACACTCAGCTAAATGTTCTCTTAAACATTTCATTACAGCTTTAACATTCAGTAACACATTCCAGAGCAAGGATACATCTCTTTCAAAAGTGGCTGTAAATTTTTAAGTTCACAGTTGAATTAATACAGTTATACATATTGAACTTAGTATCAGTATAAACCCTGTAAGACATAAAATCAAATGAGTTTTTATTTTCTGCCCCTTTGCACCTCAAAAAAAAAAAGACTGAGTTATTAAATTACTAAGAATTGCTGTTCTAAAATGCATATGTATTCCTTGACTGTACTTGACCCTATAGTCATGGAGCAGTACTCCAGAATCCTCCTTTTTAGCATAAGCTTTGGGTATGCTGTAGGTGCTACTGGACCTGCACTGCACTTTTAGAGCCTCTGCCCTCAGAGGCAGCTTGAAAATATAGGTGCCTGTGTCCTCATAACTGATTTCATCAACCCCTCAACATCTGTTCTTCAAGTTTATTTTTTAAAAGAGACTCTAATAGCGATGTGTTTGTCTAGGCAGCAGTTTGTAGGAAGGGAGAAGAGAAGAAAGGAAACTTGTGTCAGGGTGGCCTGGGAACTTACTGAAAATATAGTTTCTCGGGTGCTATTTCAAATCTTACAAAGATCTAAGGATGAAGCCTGAGTGCCTCCACTTTTAGTAGACTCCTAGATAGATCTTATGCTAAGTATGAGCTCTGATGTAAAGTCTGCAGCAGTATTACCAAATAGATTTTGAAGAACTCAGGATAAACAAAATTTGACTGTTTTAAAACGAACTTTTTTGTTCTTTTTCAATATATTTTTTTCTTTTTGAAGTGGTTTCTATGACTACATTAGTGAAACAACATTCCCTACCACTCTCCAAAAGCCTATCTTAATTAAGATGCATTTATGACTCTATAAACCAAAACTTGAGAACTTTATTTCTGTTTATTACTTTCTGGTGTAACACCTAAGAGGCTCAGCCTAAAGTTCAATAAAGTAGGAACTAGATGGAGGTAAAATACAGTGAGGCTAACTAACCTGGCAGAATAGCTTACGTGGGCACAAAATGGCTTCATGCTTGTGCTCTCAGGTACAAATAGAGTGAAGAGGCCCAAGTCACGTTACTCCTTATTTTCAGTGACCTAGAAACTGTCACTATCCTCAGGAAGTTGTAATATAATATCCTTTGTATACTTTCTTTGAAGCATTACCCCTCCGAACCCTGTTGTTTTGCAAATGAGAAAGAAAAAATAGCGTTCCCTAGTGGTCTAGGATCCATCCTCTCTGTGAAATGTCTTTTTTGCTGCATTTCCATTCCATCAGGCTTTTTCTCTCCTTGATTGAGATGGTTGGGGAATTACTCATAAGACCCCACCCCAGTTTCTTTAAAAATGTTTTTTCTCCTGGTATTTCTCTGTAGGATCTCAGATACTATTAAAAGGATAAAGAAAAGGCCTAAGAGCTCTTTATTTATTTGGTATTTTGTTTGCTTTTTCCTCTCATGAGTTACTCTTTGTTTTTGGTGACCCAGAACTGACTGTTCTGTCTGGGGAATTTGTAACAGAATATTCTTGGTATAGCACTTCCTCAACAATACCTTCCCTGTCCTCATTGTTTCTCAAACCTGAGAGACCTCAAAGTATTGCTATACAGGCAAGTAGACTAAATTCTATCTGTGACGTATCTTGACCTTTTAAAAGAAGAGTTCGATTTTCTTCATTCTAAACCCTGTCAATATAAGCACTTTGGAAAATACTCAAAGCTGTTTGCACTTTATGTGTGTGAAAACACTTTGTATGTATATATATGTAAATAAATGCCTTGCCTGGTGTGGTGACACATGCCTATAACCCCAATGCTCAGGAAGTGCAGGCAGGAAGATAAGAAATTGAAGATCATTCTGGACTACTTAGCAAATTCCAGGCTAGCCCTGGGCCGTACAGTCCTGTCAAAAAACAGGCTGGAGAGGTGGCTCAGCAGTTACGAGCACTGACTGCTCTTGCAGAGGACCTGGGTTCGATTCCCGGCACCCACATGGCGGCTAAGAACGGTCCTTAACTCCAGTTCCGGGGAATCCGAAGCCCTCTTCTGACCTCTGCAGCACTGCATGACATGGGTGCACTCACATACATGCAGGCAACACACTCATACACATAAAATAAAAAACAAAATATTAAAAAAAAAAAGACAAAAAATAGTTGGATGTGGTGGTGTGCGGCTTTGGTCCCAGCACTGGGAAGGCAGAAGCAGTTCCAGGCCAGCTGGGGCTACAGGGAGACCCTGTCTCAAAAAGACCAGGAAAAAAAAAAGACAAAAAAAAACAACAAAAAATCTAAAACTTTTGATCTATATTTGAACATACATTAATTTTACATAATTATGAATATACACATTTTACTATTTGTTTAATATAGAAGTAATTCATGTGTTTCTTTTTTTTCATGGTTATAATTTTAGTGGTTACATAATATTCTGTCACGTTGACAGATAGTTTATGCAATTTTCACTTGGCATAAAAAAATCTAGGGAAGTCTTGGTGTGGTGGTACATGCCTTTAATTCCACATCCATGAGGCAGGTGGATCTCTGTGAAATTGAGACCAGCCTAGTCTACATAGGGAGTTCCAGGCCAGCTGGGGCTATAGGGAGACCCTGTCTCAAATAAACAAACAAAAAAATCAGTGATTTCCAATAGTATTATACATTGTAATTAACTATGGTTGACAGGTTGTACAGTAGATATCTTGATAGAATTAAAAAATGCTATAAATGAAGTTATATAGAAAACAAAATATCTACCATTTCTTTACCTTAATATTCATTAACTGCCTGTTTTGAGACCAAGGTTAATAGGTACTGAATGCCTGCAAGTTGTTTCATTTAATTTTATACAAGTCTAGTAGGTAGATTCCATTACTGCTCCCATTTACAAGGTGAGGAAACAGACCTGACTGCTTGTGTAACTTAGCATTTTAGCTGACAGGTAGGCTAACCCAGGATTTGAACCCAGTCGGATTTTAGAGCTTTGTTCATAATCCTGTTTCATGTCATATTATATCCTTTTTTTCTTATTCATGCAGATTTTCCATGTTTTTATAAGATTATTGTAATAGCATAGTCCTTCATTGCTATTAAATACCTTCTTTACTGAACCATTCATAGAATTTAGACCCTAGACCTTATAACTAGGTACATCATTGATTATTTTTCTGCATATATACTTTTGCTTTTGTGGAATTTACTGCACACAAATTCCAAGAAAAGAATCTATAGATTATTTGGGGGTGTTTTAATAAATGGGTGTATTAAAAATCTCTTTGAAACCTCAAGAATTTTAAAAAAGTGTATTGTTTGCTACAGAAAGGGAAGTAAATTCATTTTTACTTGTATATAATATGATTGAACATTTCTGAGCTTTCTTTGGCTGTTTTTCTCTTATTGGTAATTATAACTTAGCTTTTTGTTAGTTTGTTTTAGGTTTTGCTCACATTGAGGTCAGCAGACAACCTTGGGTGTCTGTCCACACCACCTTTGTTCTTTTTGAGGCAAGGTCTCTTTTATGGTTTGCCACTGTGCTGCAAACTCCAGGCTTGCTGGCCCACGAGCTTCCAGTGGTTTGTGTCTCCACCTCCTATCTTGCTGTAGGAATGCTGGGATTACAGAAATATGCCAGTGGGCAGGCTTATGTAGCAGGCACATTTACCCACTGAGCCATCTTCCTGGCCCTTGTTTTTGATTTTTTGAGACTGTATCTTGGTCTCAAATTTGGAGCCCAAATTGGTCTTGAACTTAATATGTATCCCAGGCTAGCCTCAGACTTGAAGTGATCCTTCTACCTTAGCCTCCTAATTGCTGGTAGTACAAGAGTGTGCCACCCTGTCTGGCTTACCATCATCTTTAGATTGCTTAACCACCGTAATTGTTTTCTCCTTTTGATACATGTGTATCATGAAAGACTATACTTTGGAAAGTTAAGATGGAAAAGAACTCCACTATAACTTCAAAATGTACATATAAAAGCTAAAGACTGAAATTATCTGAACTTACTTCTGGATAACTTTTTAAAATTTGTACCTTCCTTTTTCAGATCCTACAATGAAGTTTATTTTATAATCAGGAAACTTAAACATAGTTGGTAAATGTACTTTATTCTGAAATAAAACACACAAACTCAGAGGTCAAAAAATTGTAAATAACTGAAAAGCACATTTCTATCTCTGTATTCTCCAGTGAAAATGAGATTTTGTTTTTAAGCAGATAAAAAATCAACATAGGTGAAAAACTTTCATTGTTACTTTCTTTTGCAGAGATGCTGTTCAGTTAAATGTGATTGCTACACGACAACTTATTCTCCTTGCACAACAAATGAAGAATCTGGAAGTGTTCATGCATGTATCTACAGCATATGCCTACTGCAATCGAAAGCATATTGATGAAGTAGTTTACCCAGCCCCTGTAGATCCCAAGAAGCTGATTGATTCTTTAGAGTACGTGTGTTTGAGTTTATATACATTGCTTTAATACTAAGATCCAAATTGATCTTTTTCTCTCTATGTGCAACCCATGCACACACATTTATCTCTTCCTTTATTCAATAAACTATTGAATATCTTCCATCTTATTGTATAGGTTTATGTCTTACTATATCAGTGAAGTCAGTGAAGGGATTTCCCTTTTGGCCATGTGTAATAGTTGGAGGAGGGCCTCTGTACAATTCATCTATGTTTTAGGAGTTTTGTTTTCCAGGTAATCAATTTTAGTTCTTGTGGAGACCAATGACTGCTTAGTAGTAAGGTTCTGATTTACTAAAGGATCTCTATACCCCTCACCCCAGTGGACTAAACCTGTCGAGAGGCCTTTCATTATGAAGAAATCAGAGGAATTATAGTCCTTTAATTCTTACTCCATCTTTCTAAGGACAACATTCTCTCAGCAGTTATTACATGAGTAATATTTGTATTTTATGTATATAAAAGATTAAGTGAAATGCATATACTACAACTTAATCTTCATTTGCTTCAGTCTGTGCTTTCTTTTTTGGTTTTTTTCTTTTTCTTTTATGTGTATGTGTGTATTGCCTGTATGTATGTAAGTGCATCATTTTGTGTAATGCTCGTGAAGGTCAGAAGAGGGCATCAAATTCCCCTGGAACTGGAGTTGTGGATGGTTGTTAGCCACCATATGGGTGCTGGGAATCAATCGAACCTAGGTCCTCTGCAAGAACAGCCAGTGCTCTTAACCTCTGAGCCATCTCTCCAGTCCCAAGTCTGTGCTTTCTTTTCTTACTACATGAACACTGTGTCTTTGCTTTTCCTTTTAGACTACAATTATATAGATATTTCTACATCCATTACATCTTCACATTTGTTTATCATCACAGAATGTCTCTGGGCTTTTTCCTTATAATTTTCTGTCTCTAGTTCTGTCTTCGTTCATAGATATTCCATTTACTTTTGACTCCTACCAGCCCTTGGTTTCTCCTAAAATAAGCACACATGACCTTTTTAAAAAGGCTTTTCTGGCTGGGCGTGGTGGCGCACGCCTTTAATCCCAGCACTCAGGAGGCAGAGGCAGGCAGATCTCTGTGAGTTCAAGGCCAGCGTGGTCTACATAGTGAGTTTTCAGGACAGCTGGGGCTACACGGAGACCCTGTCTCAAAAAGATCAAAAAAAAAAAAAAAAAAAAAAAAGGCTTTTCTGTTAATCATTGTATGGAAATGGGTTGTAGGAAAATATGAGAGTTGACTGAAACATTTCTTGTGATGATTACCTGCTTCTATTTTATAACTCAATATCCCAAATGGTCCCAAATAAATACTTCATTTTCCTTACAAGTCAGTAGAAGTGTTTATGATTCTGTCAAAAAGTAAGCATGGAGGTAAGTGAAGCTTAATACTGCCTTTTGGCTTTTGTTTATCCAAACATCTAAGGAAACAAGAAAGAGCTTGTAATGTAAACATCTTTTCCTTGCTTACAGAGAAATCTAGCTAATACTTTTAGTAGTATTCATGGATTTGCTCTGTAAACTCAGTAGAGATAAAGCTTACTTGCCTAAGTCTCTCTTCAGTTTAACAGGTTTGGTGTTTCGTTAGGCTCTATTTTCCCATCTATCAACCAACCATCCTTTCCAGTTTTCAAAACTCATCACCACTGTAGTTTTTTTCAAGCTAGAAAGTAATTTCCCTGTTCTTATTCTTCTCATACACAAAGTACTTCCATATATGGAAGCAGTTTATACTTCCTTTGCTAAGAGTTTGGGTGTCATCAGAGTGTGACAATATACAGAATGTGTCTTTGTTTAGTATAGACAAAAAGGGAAAGATGTCTAACAAGGATGAGACAGAACCAGACATTAAGGAAAGACTATGGACATTACCTAGTACATCGCACTCCTTTTACAGGTGATCCTATTATACTTTCTTCAGAGACACTGAGAGCATCTTTTTAGAGGAATTTTGTGACCTCATTGTAAGTTATTAATTGGATTCTCATAGCATCCTTCATTATACTTTATTATTCCTAGTATTTGTTAATCTCGCTTGTGAGGATGCAAAATGTCATTGATTCCCCTTAAATAGATTATCAGCCCTTTTAATATAATTGTAAATATGTATGAATAGCAAATGTATATAATTAAAATGCTTGTCTGTTAGGTGGTAATAGAGAGATTGGTAATTTGTAATGAAACATTTGGGTCAAAATACTTTGAAATTATTTTGGACTTTGGAAAAGAAATCTAATTTAAATATTATGTGATAGTAAATTACTTCATTTTGGTTTACGGTCACATCTAATCAAATGTACATGAAGTACATGAATTTAAACTAAATGGTATCTTTTTAAAGACACTTAATTGGTTCAGGTCAGTTTGTTCTGCTGTCATATGACTTATGAAAGAACTATTGTTTTTCAGATTTTTTTGGATGTAGGAGTTGTAGATTATAGACCTGTGGTTGATATTTAAACCTTCCCCCTTAGTGAAAGTTACAGTGAAATCATGAGTCCGGGCAGCATATGGGTTTATGCAAAGTTCAATTAAGTAGTTCTTCATTTATAATAAAACATCGGGAAAATTTTGCATATTTCTTTGTTTGCTAGATGGATGGATGATGGCCTAGTAAATGACATCACACCAAAATTGATAGGAGACAGACCTAATACATACATATACACAAAAGCATTGGCAGAGTATGTCATCCAACAAGAAGGAGCAAAGCTAAATGTGGTGATTTTAAGGCCGTCAATTGTTGGTGCCAGTTGGAAAGAACCTTTTCCAGTAAGTTCTTTAAAAATCTTCATATTGGGATTTAGAATTTTAAATTATAACTGTAGAAAAAGAGTTGATGATGTGATTTAACAGCAGATGTTATATAAGTGCTGAACATGGTTTATCATGGAAAAGCTGGTTGAAGTTCATAGGAAGAGGTAATGTTATCAATACTTGTTATTTCTAATGTGAGTCTGGGGTTATGGGAATGTAGATCAACAATTTAAAATCCTAATTGAAGTCTGATGAAAAGTTTTGACCTTGTCTTCAGTAAAGGAGACCAGGATTTCATGTGTTTTTCATTACCAGAAAGGCAAGCCCTTCAGGAGTTGTGTGTGTCCCTCCCTGTGTAGATTACAAAGCTAAGAAAGCTGTAAGAGACTTCTTTGGTGACTTGCTGTTAAAAAGAACAGAGATGTTAGGAAAGTCTTAAATCCCTGACTAAGAGAAGGCAGTAAGTAAGCTGATCTAGAAAAAACCTAGGTCTGTATTTGTAGGAAGTGACAGCATCTCTTTTGTTGCTTTGATAATTCTTTTTTCTTCCCTTTTACTTAAAAATTTGAGGAACACTTACCATTTTCCGTTAAGATGTTGCAATAACAAATAGTATAAAATGAAAGACGAGCAAGGCTTGATTTGGCAAAAATGATTGACAGTGTATACTTTTTTTTTAAGGAAAATTCCATTTGCAGGGAGTTAGCAGAGCATAGGTAACCCCTTGAAAATATTTTCATTTATTTATGATCCCAGAGCAAGACTGATTCTGTTTGGTACTAAGAAATGAAATGTAGATTTTTTTTAAGGCATTGAAAGAGCACTGTAGGTATTTATTTGATGTGTTAATACTTTAAATAATAAATCTTCTAGTTCGATAATCACTTTAACCTCCTCTCCTTTTCCTTCAATATTTGGCTTTAGGGATGGATTGATAACTTTAATGGACCAAGTGGTGTCTTCATTGCGGTAAATAAACTTTTTAATTTACTTTTCTATAGGAGTGTGAGTGTGTGTGTGTATGTGTGGTGTGTGTGTGTGTGTGAGGGTGTGGGCATGCACATGTACGCACATGTATATACATTTTGGCTTATGTATCTTAAGGTGTTGTTTTTAATTTCAACAAAGGCAGGGAAAGGAATTCTTCGAACAATGCGTGCCTCCAACAATGCCCTTGCAGACCTTGTTCCTGTAGATGTAGTTGTCAACATGAGCCTTGCTGCAGCCTGGTATTCTGGAGTTAATAGGTATATGAGGTGACAATGTTTCTTATTAAATATATCATAATTGAGAAGGGGAAAGGAGTTACTGATATTAATTGCTTAGTTTTGTTAGTGTTATATCAGTAAATGCAAAATACTACTACCCATAGTAAGAGTTGATACATTAGAGGCAGTAATAGGCAGACACACCCATAGTAATAAAGTTAATTCCCATGTAGTAACAGAATTCACAAGTTCATTAGGAATTAAAAATGGAGGAAAACAGAAGCCCTCCTGAAGGATGACTTTTTAAGCCATATTAAAACTTGGCATTAACTTTTTTTTTTGTCTTTTTGAGACAGGGTCTCCCTGTAGCCACAGCTGTCCTGGAACTCACTATGTAGAGCAGGCTGGCCTTGAACTCACAGAGATCCGCCTGCCTCTGCCTCCTGAGTGCTGGGATTAAAGGCGTGCGCCACCACGCCTGGCTAACTTAACATTTTTAAAGAGTTGAAATTCACAGGGAAGGCTTTGTGTGCCAATCATGGCACACTAGAGCAACCTTAACCAGTAAGTAACCTTTTAGAAGATAATGGTAGCATTCATAGCTAACACCTAAGCTTTAAGCTTTCCATGAACTTAGTTCATGTAACTGAATAAACTGACCTTAGTTTTGAAGTCATCACTTCATGTCCTAAGAAGAGGAAGGATGCCATGTTTTGAGGGATGTGTTGTTTTAGCTAAAGAGAACTTAGCCTTTAATTTTTTTTTCAAATTGAATTTTTGAAAATGAGACAAAAAGAGCTGAAATTGTCACTCTTTTCCTCACCTTTAAAGACTCCTGCTAATACAAGGAAGGAGCATTTAAAAGAAAACCAAATCTGCTGCATCTATTTATGATTTAGGGGGAAGAGGGAGTAAGAAGTAGTTGTAGTCATCAAACACTAGAAAGATCCTTTAAGGGTGCTTTTTACATAATACAGAAGAGGTATCCGTCAGCTGCATGTCTTCCTACTTTTTCGTGAAATTTCGCTGTGTCTCACCTCTTTGTGTTTCGTTGCTTTCATCTTTGTCTTTCCAGACCAAGAAACATCATGGTGTATAATTGCACAACAGGCAGCACTAATCCTTTCCACTGGGAGGAAGTTGGTATGATTTTATCTATGTTTTTGAATGCTAGAATGCTTCTTAAAGAACTTAAAATGTTCACTGAGTTTTTAATATTAGAACACTTAATGAGGCATTAAGACCAAGATAACAATTTATTCTCATTTTAATTGCCATTTGAGAATAACTACCAATAATGCCTGTGGTCCATCCCTAAGTTATATTTGAGGAGGAAGCATAGAAATTTATGTCATGTTAATTAGTAGAGGTGATAAACATTACCACTGAAATCTAACCCCCCATGACTTCATAGGCCTAGGCGGCAAGGATCCAACTGTAACCTATTGTGACTAGTCATAGATACACACAGATTAGAGATGCATGAGCCAACATCTCAGTGTTAATAACAAAAACAATGAGTCTTCCTGCAAGGAAAAATATATTCTACAATGAAATGGAGATCTTTTTTAAAAGTTAAAAACTCATTCAGTTTTACGTCTTACAGTGCTTATACTGAGTTCAATGTTATATAACTATATTAATTAAACTGTGAACCTTGAAAGTTACAGCCACTTGTGGAAGAGATGTACTCTGGCTCTGGCGTGTGTTACTG